ACAAAGCAGCAAGCCTCGTGGGCAAGTTTATTGGAAGGATGGAGAGTTAATTAAACGAATAAATAACGCGACAAAGGGAAGAGTGGCCGGTGTACTCTAACGGGACAGTTCTCTCGCCGTTCTCCTCTTTCAGGAGGGCGTCGCTCGCCCGCCCGTTCCGCACTCTGCAAATATACACACGTATATATATTCCGCGCGAACGACCCTTCCGCTCCCACTCTAATTCATCCTTTTGCCTTCTTTCCGGCTGCCGCGATTTTCTCCGCGATCCGCTCTCCCCCCACCACTCACTCCCCACTACTCGTCCCCGCCCACTTAATTTTCTCCGCTGTTATTGTTTTCACCGTCTCTTTTTCGCGCGCCGTTCGCACGAGAACGCGATACTACCGGCGAATTCACGGCCGGTGTTGATTTTACGAAGGGACTTGTTAATTAAAAAGGTCCCCGTGGCTCGGTGTTTGCTCGACGGTTTATCGCCCGCCCGCGATGGATGAAACGTTGAACACGCCCGTCGAGGATGCGCTACGAAACGCTTTCGATTTCAGGTGGCAAGTTTTTTTCAATCCTTTTTTCGACGTTTCGTTCGTGACAGAGAAAAGAGAGAGAGAGAAACGCGAAAGAATAAATCGACGTCGAATTGCTTTACGTAGTTTATTAGTTTATTTAAATTCGATTCGAATGCGTGAAGAGCATAGTTGCTTGGAAAAATATTGTAAATAAGTTTATTCGCGAAGCTTCGAGCTCCCGATCGCTTCCGATTATTGCCGAGTTGGCCCGAAGTCTCTAATTTCGAACGTATCGTAATGTCGAATTCGTAATCCTTATAAACTTTGCGTTACAGATGAAATAAAGTTTAAAAATAATACGCGATGAAATTTAATCGACGTGTAATATACAACTCAAGATAAAATAATAAATTAGCAGTCAATTTCGAAAGTGTTGCAAAATATCCAACCAAGAATCGACGTCACAGTTCGCTCGACGTTTTAAAGGCTTTCTAACCTCCTTCCACCAACTTTATCGCGTTCCCCCTCTCCTCTCCGGCTAATTTTTCTTCGCCTCCTTTTTTCACAAGCGTTATTAAATCCACGAAAGCAGAAACTCTGCGAAACCCGGCCTTGCTCCCGGAACAATTAATAACCGGCCACGGTGAGTTATTTTTCCCCTCTGTCTCCTCGTTATGCTCCCTCGTTTAGCCGAGTTTACGCGAAGTTTAGCGAGCAAATCGGATTCCTATCCGCGTTCCTATAGCGCGGTATCTCAACCGCCCAAACCTTCCGTCTCTTCCCTGTCTCCGCCTCTGTTCGCGGTTCCCGGTTCCCACCATGGCCCCGACGAATCTTTGGCGCCGGAGGTGATGATTAACCCGAAGTAAACAACCGCCCAATAACATGCTAATGCGGACTGGGATAGCCGGGTCAGGCCGAGCGAGGAGGTGGAGACGGCGAAAGCTGCTAGGGAATCGAAAATGAAATTTCATGCAGATAGAGAGATCTGATTTCCCTCTCTCTCTCTCTTTATCTTTCGTGGCTGGAGGAATTTATTAATCGATCGGCAATAAGAGAAATCGGGTATGGCGAATTTGAAATAATTATGCCATAATTATGCTCGCCATTAATTCCATCTACGAGAAAATGTATTTTAAAGAACGTGTCGATTATCCATTATCGCTTCGAAAGAGATTTAATTATTTAAAAAATTTTCATTCCGTTAAAAGTTCCGACGGAATGAGAATTCGGATATAATACGGGGATGAGAGCAAGAAATTGAACAACCCTGTGAAATTAACCGGATCAAAACACCATCAATTCAGGAAGGCAGACGACACAGTCAGACGAGTCGATCGCTCATGATTACCGGTCGCAAAAACGATATATTATTATGCGTGACGATATTGGATGGAGAGGTTTGGAAAAGTTTCGAGGGAGGGAGGGAGGGGGTGCACGATGCATCACGTACGCAACATCATACGTTAATCATGATGCATTAGACGCTGCTAATAATGATCTCTCGTGCATTCCTCCTCCTCCACCTCCTATTTCTCCACTTCCTAGATAACGAAATATTTTTCCAGATTCGGGTTATCGCGCACACGATCATATTTGACGTTGATTCAAATGAAAATTCACCGGCGTTTGGAAAGTAGGTTTTAATCGCTTTGCTTTAATTGGAACATCAATTTCAATATAAAAATGTGATTGAAATGTCAAAAGTGATTGTTGCGAAAATTATTTTCTCGTGCCGGGCAAAGCGAACGTGAAAAATAAAATTTGTTTTTACGGTCATTTTGTTTTCAGTTGATTTCGCGTTTCGATACATGGCGAATATTTCGGATATATATATATATTGTATATGAAGTATATTTATTTAATATTTTGCTCTTTTTTTTTTCTGTTATTGGATAGAACACTTATCGTTGGATGGAAGGAGGGGGAGGAAAAAAATATTGAAAATACAATTGCAAAATTTATCTCGTTTCGATCTCGTGTAAAAAATAACGAATTTCATAATTTACAAATAAATTTTGTCAACACGCGTGAACAATTATTCACGATCATTATAGTTCAAGCATTATAGCGTTACATTTTACAACAACCGGTTTAATTGAAAGACAAAAAGAAAAAGAAAAAGAAATGATAAATTGTTAAATGTAACGCATTGTATTACAATTTAAAACTGTGGAAATGTAATGATCGTGTTAAAATAATTAATGAATAATAAAGCGGACAACACAACGAGTCAGCCAATTTGACGAGAGATCGATGAGAAATAACGTGTCGTTACGTGTTTCGAGGACGTAAGTCCACGTACGTTCCATTTCTCTAGGTTAAGTTTTATCATTTATTCATACACGTTGCATCAATGAAACGTTTAACCTTTTCGTTTAAACGTTATCGTTCAACCATCGTTTCGATAATTTTCAACAATAATTATACAAGTTTCGTACTTGGGCCACAACGTTGATCGTAATAACAAATAATTTTGTAAAGTTCAAGATAAAAAAAAAAAAAAAAAAAAAAGTTTTATTTATAGGTTCACGAAGGCGCGATAAAGTCGGCCAATTTCCAAGAAAAACAAATTAATGCGCGAGAGAAATCACGAAAGATCGAGGAAAGCCCAATTATAACGGGGGCAAAAGAGATAATCGTTTGACGGATAACGATGTTAAACAGCGAGAAAAGGACGTATCTATATAATTACATCGATCGTTTTTTCATCGAAACTTGAAATGTTGAGCACGAGTTCCGCGATATCTCGAACAGATATATATATATATATATATACACAAAGGAGGACGGAACGAGGATAATTACCACTTATTTATGTAGCATAATAAACAGAGCACACGCCAAGTTTCAATCTCCGATCAAAGGATCTTTTTTTTAAAAGATTCATGATTTAATAACGATCGTGCAGAGTTTCCTTGATATAATACGATAATATCTGGATTAAAATAAAATACGATACCCTATTCTAAAAAGGATTCTCACTAGTGATATCGTTATCAAAGGACGAACGAAATCCTTGGCATAAAATCAAATAAATTACCTATATCTACCCCCTCTGACATTCCTTAAAATTATATAATTTTTCGAAGAAAAGAAAGAAAAAAATAATTCTTCGTTAATCCAAATCTAATCCAAAAAAAACCTAAAACTCTCGATCCTGGAAAATTTTCGACTCGAAAATTTCGAGGGCGAACACATTATATCGAGCGACTCTATTTCCGAGGAGGAGGCGAGGAGAGCGGAGGCGTAGAGATCGATCGGCCAAGAAAAAACTCGAGGGGATAAGAGATACAGTGGTGCTCGATTATAATCACCCTCTCAATCAAAGGCCCTTCGCCGTAAACAACGGGAGAGCTGCAGCCATGAGGCCGCGGCCGGCAAAATACCACGCGGTAAGTGGGTCGTTGGGACGAGCAAAACTTTTCCTTTCTCCTTGCGAGGGGCAGGGGGGAACGCACGCTTTAGCATTCGTTGTACGCGACACCTCCGCTTGGCTGTGGCGTGTGGTGGGGGTGCTTCCCCCATGCTTCGAGCTTGAAACGAATTTAGAAACCGCGAGATCCGGGTACGGCCGCGAATAATATGCATAACGCGCTTCTGATGTCACTGTTCCGCGATTTTCCGTGCACGGACAGATGGTTAAGTCGAATTCTGTATTTTTCTTCTCCTTTCTTTTTTCGAATCCTTGAGAAAAGTGGAAAGTAATTCCATATATAATTTAATTGTGGAAAAGTATATCGAATCGATAAAAAGAATTTTTCAATTTTCCTTTAACACGAAACGTTATACAAATTCCTGTATATCCTCTAAGAACAACAAATTCGTGCAACACGCGTGCGAGAAATAAAATTAACCTTTCGTGTTAACATGGTGATATCGTATCTGTACACGCACTATGAGCATAATTCACTAAATTATATATTATACATAACATTCATAAATTGAACGTTCGTTAATGGTAAGCATA